TTCACTGGTTATATCATTCAATAAAAAAATTAATTATTGGCAATTTGTTAATAGGGATGTTAGCAAATAGATTCCTAACAACTGTGGCTCCAAAAATATACAATCAACTTCCCTTTAAGTCATAAAAATCAGAACAATTATATATTTTTTTCAGAGAATGTAAAAAGTTTATTGGAAATAATTTCAAGGGTTCCACATTGTTCCCATTTGGGAGTCTCACCTGAAACTGCATAATTTTAAACAAACAAATGTTAAAGTACCTATAAGATTCTTATATATTATTAAGATGAAAATAGATGATGTTTTCTCAAATGGATCTTGGCTGCATTTCCCCAGATAAGTATTCCAAATAATACAATGTGAATGGAAAAATATATTATGTTGTAAATGGTTGCTTCTTTATTAATTTTAATGCAAACACTGTTCAAGCAAGTTTGTTACATAAGAAATCTATATCGAAAATCAAAAAAGTTTTGTATCCAAGTACATGAATCCTACATTCACAGTTATACCTTTTGAAGATACCTAATAGAAGTTTGGATCATCAGCATACACATTGGTCAGCAGTAGATGCCTACTTATGTATAGCAGGGACAGAAGTTGGAAAGGTGGTAGGTAGAGAGGTGGTCAATATGGAAAACTTCATGAATTTAGTGAAAATGTTTGTTCACTATTGAATAAAAATAATACCAAACATTTAAAATGATTACTGATCAAATCAGCCAAACATAAGCTACAAATAATTATTTAAACCAGTAATAATATCCCAAATCATAATTCTACAAAATATCAACAGCTATTCACAATTTATTAAACTATTTGCCTGAAATTTTTATTAGCATCTACAAAATAATTTCAGTTAGCTCTGCATCAAGACTGCCAAATCCTGTGTATGAAGTGGAAGAACTGGCAGAAGCATCTCCAAATTATGTCCCTGCTATACCAAGGCACTGGAACTGGTTAGAGAAAAGGTAGAAAAATTCGGATAGGCAAATGGCACCATTTCGATTTTCTAATATAGAATGTAAGAGAATACCTACCTTTCGATGAAAATGAAGTAAACATTCTGAAGCAAACAAATATACTATTTATTATTAATTTTTCTTCTTTCTTGAATGGTAGGTAATCTTCATATTACACTGGCTGTGTAATTTTGCTAATATATTAAATTTGTTATAAGCTCTTAGTAAGGTACTTACGCGTTTATTAGTGATGAATGCAAGTGGGACTTTAAGCTGAATCATGTGGTGCTACGGTTTAAAATCGACGTAGAACACACACCAGATTCAACTCAGTGTCCCACAAAATTAGTAGGCACTTTGTTAAATCCCAAAATGCACTTAGATAATCGCATGAAAGATGTGCTAAATGAGGTATTAAGTTGATTAAATAATGAATAGTAAAGCCGAAATGCAACTAAAAATGGTTATGTGCGAAATAAGATCCACTTACTTTTCCAATTTAATCCTTTTGAGAGCAACTTTTTTTCCAGTCACTTTGTTTTTGGCTTTATAGACGACCCCGTAGGTTCCTTCTCCGGCTTTGGCTAGCTTGATAAATCGATCCAACTTGTCCATTACGTAAAAAAAATTCGGGGTCGATGTGGATATGGAATTACATTAAAAGCGGGAAAAATACTTGTTTTCCGTGGATCCATTTTTGTTTATTAAATTTCTGCGCATGGGTAGATGAAAACGGTCAATAAACAGGTATACCAACATTACGATTGACTAACGGGAGGATTGCATTCCAAATTCGACGCATGGCCATTCCTTTTTTTAGCAATTTTTATATACGAGGGATAAACAAATAAGTAAAATTTTAAGTGTGAAATAGAGAACATGTTCCGATAAGTACATAAACACTTGTCTCAATACAAAACATATATAATTAGAGAAAATATAGGTAATTATTAATTAAAATAAGACAAAAATCACAGATAATAATGATACGAAGTAATAGGGTTTCTTAAATGTTATTAATGACTACATTTTATTTATTTTGTTTTAAAAAAGTAAAAATTTTAACGGAGGTGCTTAAACAGAACAAATTGAAAGGAAGAAATAAAATTATGTTGTGACTGTAGCCACTGTACATTGTAGAATTAAGGATTGTAGTACAATAACAGGCCAAATTATGAAAATACTTTTATTTCCCCAAAACATGAAATATTAGTACATGACATGTGTTAGATTGCTTGTGATCACCTCCAACGTTACTATGGATAATATATAATAATATAACAAATTATAACATCCGCTTGCAAGAATTAACGCTGGTTTATATCTATCTACAACTTTTAGACTGGGTGTAATTTGAAATTAATATCATTTAAAGTCTATTGGGTCCATAAATTTTGATAAACGTTGTTGCAATCAGTTGTTAGACTTTCTACATCCAATTTATTATATATAATCAAATGGGACGTCATCAGACTTAAGATAAAGTAACTGTTGACAATTACTAGTGACTGCTAAAATTAATAACAAATAATATTATTAAAAGAATAAATTAACGTTAAAAAATATTAATAAATAAAAAATAAATAATAAACAAAAATAGGGTCGATAATGATGACACGATATTACAAATACGAGTATTATCGTAGCTATAGTACAGAAATAGACTATATAAAGAATTCATATATAGAAACTAGAAACTCGAAGAATGTAAATTTTTGAAAAAAGCCCTATAAATCAGGATACATGCATAATATTCTCCATGTTCTGTCATTGAGAGTCTGCACAGTTTATTTACCTGGTTACGTAGTTATTTTGAGGTTAACATTGGTCAAAAAGTGATCGATTTTCAAAGAAAAGTAAAACTGATTAATGTATAAATATTGCAGTAGTAGTGGTCATTATTGTGTGCTGTTTCAATTTTTTTCTACAAGAATCTCTCACTGGGACAGGCAAATAGCTTTTTGATCTCAGAGAAGCGTTTAAAAAATATAATTCTATATCTAATATGACTCTTAATGACTAAATAGTAGACCATTTTATTTTACAATTAGTGTGTAAGTTGATTTAGATATTTTATGACGCACATATTCAATAGAAATAGAAATATTTTATTCTCAGTAATACATACATAAACATGTTTACATAGTCGTCAGTACACATAAATGATAAAATACACCACATTTTACATACATTAACATACAGCATACTCGTATAAAATTTAAAATAAAATAGGATTTTACTAAATGGAGCAGTTTCCACTACATTTCCTGAATTCCCTAATGCAGCCGAGGAAGGTGCGTATACTAATAAACATAATTAAACATATATATTTTTTTAATTACTTTTCATTATTATGTTATGAAGTGTTGTGTATAATTCAAAACATTACCGTAATAATTGATTGTGTGTAGGAATTAAAAAGAAGAGCATTACATTTGAAAGCTGAGTCAGGCCCTTCAAATAGGAATCTATCCTAGAAAGCATAAAACGGCTTAGAAGACAACTTTTATAACAGGTAGAAAAGAATAAAGAAAAAACAAGATAAATCAAAATTCTTTAACAGAAACTTAAGAGATATATGTTATTATACCAAATTAGTATTATTTAAGGGTCAGTAATAAATTTATCTTCATTTATGTATAATTTTTCTTACTAGCTTAATTTAATAATACCCAGATAGCGCACTACATCTTAAAGAAGTCCAGTTCATGTCTTACTTTCGTCCAAACGTCCTGGTACGTAAATCGGATGGTTTTAAGACATGTTTAAAACGTCTTTAGGACGTTTTAAATATGTCGGTAATGTGGACGTTCAACTCTTTTTGTTATATTTGAATATGGCGCCACGACAGCGTTCTTGGCGCTGCCTGCAGCGCATGTATGATCGTCATTTGTCATTATCATTGGTTGATTGGATAGTTTCGCGCGCGCGTATCAAGTCGTGTTCTTCCTCTAGCTACCTTTGCCTCGGGATAGCCATTGTATAATATTTTTAGTGTCAGTCTGTGGACATTGTCATTACTTTTTCGTGGTTCTCTGTTTTTATATATTGACTTTTTTATATTATTTATTTGCCTTTATTGGAACTGTGGTATATCGGAACTAGTAGACTTGCATTACACTTTTACGTCATATGCCAAACTTGAGATCGAGCTAGTCAATTTTGGTGAGACTAAATTAATTTTTTTTATAACTTCATTTAAATGAAATAATATCATTTTCATTCCGTCAGTCTTGAAATATAAAATTATAATAAATCAAAGTACGACTCAGGTCGCCATTTTCATTACACTTTTCCGTCACTCGAAGTGCGTCGATCTATAATATAGCAAAATAGTGTTTATGTTGTCTTTATTTTATTCTATCTCAAATACTCACATCGAGCCTTCAACCACTGATTCACTCATATTATTTTTATAGGTATATTTTGTTTCGTACACCCCTCGTATAATGAAGCTACTCTAATTTTTTATAGAAGCTCGCAAACTTGAATTCCTCCGGTTAGTCGCTGGTGATTTTGAGGATGAAACATGGAAATATCATTTTTCCACATTCTACTTATGACAAATATGAAAATATTATTCCAGTAACGATTTTTGTTTGATTTTAAACAAGATATCCAACGCCTTTTTGGCATTTAATTAATTCTAAAGTATTGATTTTTTAATTCGTTCTGTTGGTAGTTGGTATGGTTACTTCCGGTTTCAAAGGGCGACACTAGCGCCACCAGCTTCCTTCCTCTTCATTCGACTTCGTGTAACTTTTTTGATGTTAAGGGTGTGTGCGCCGTTTGGTGCCAAATATTTAGAATATACAAGAAATTTTAACAATTTTCTTGTAACAGTGTGTGCAAAACAATCTTTTAACTGAAGGGAGTTTTTTAACCAAAGTAAGTACTATTTTTATCTGTTATTTGTTTGTTATTTCTATAAAGTTTGTGTATAGAAGCCGCCATGATGTGGCGTCGGTTTTAGCGGCTTCTCCGTCTTAGGCAAACATTTTAATTTCCTTTCGTTTTTCTCACTTTCCAGAACCGACGATGGCGTCGGAACAATTCTCATTATGTTGGGACAATTTCCACAAAAATATGAGTTCCGGCATGAACTCATTGTTAGAGAGCGAAGACTTAGTAGACGTGACGCTTGCCGTGCAAGGGAAGTGTCTGAAGGCCCATAAAATGGTCCTTTCAGTTTGTAGTCCTTATTTTAAAGAACTTTTTAAATCGAATCCGTGTCAACATCCCATTGTTTTTATGAAAGACGTTAGTTACGAAGCCTTAAGTGATTTGTTACAATTTATGTATCAAGGCGAGGTACAAGTTAGTCAAGAAAATTTAACTACTTTTATTAAGACTGCAGAGGCCTTACAAATTAAGGGACTCACCGGTGACGGAAATGTAAGTATTAGAATTTCTTTTTTTTTTTTGTCTAATAATTATTAATAATGGCGGCCGGTACCGGGTATCTAGCGTTTCGGGCCGATGCTGTTCGTTTGCCTTCGGTTTTGGTAAAATCGATTTATGAGGATTCATTCGATTGTTATAAGTATGTAATCGAGTGGTTAAAAATGTACACAAAAGTTTTACAAACCAGGTACGGTCTTCAAAATTTCTAATTCCTTTTGTTTTGGTCCGATTTTTATGAAATTTTCAGGAAAATTTCGAAAAGTATTTATTTTGATAGTTTTAAGAAGGAATTAAAAAAAATACATTGCCATTGTATATCTATTCAATGAAAAGGGTATATCGAGGGATCCTGAGGGGCGAATTTTGTAAAAAAATTCCTTTTTCCAGAAAAATCTACTTAAAAACTTCATTTTTACAGGTTATATTCACAAAACATTTACTCTAGGTGACAGATTCGGTCTTAAAAATTACAATGTTGCCAAGTTGTTAATAAAGGATTATTTAAAATGTATAAAATAAAAAAAAATAAAATTTTAACTAATTTACCCAGGGTCGTAAAAAACCTAAGAAATTAAAAATATATGAGTAGGTTTTTAGGTTATTTAAATTTTTAAGGTTTTTAGGTTTTTTGTTCATATATATGTCAAAAGTTAATATTAATAAAGTTAAACAAAAAATACAAGCAAAACTTGAAAAATAAAACTTTATTATACAGGTTAGGTAAACTGTGTAGCCTGGAGACATCTTAGGTCGCCTCCCAAAAAAATATACATAAAATAAGAAAAACTTAATAAAAATTAACTAATATACCTAACCTGTGTGGACTGGAGTAACCATGGGTTGCTTCTCAAAAAATATACATAAAATAAGAAAAATTAAACAAATATTAACTAACTTACCTAACCTGTGCGGCCTGGAGTCACCACAGGTTGCTTCTCAAAAAATATACATGAAATAAGAAAAATTTAACAAAAATAACTAATTTACCTAACCTGTACGGCCTGGAGTAACCACAGGTTGCTTCTCAATAAAATATACATAAAACAAGAAAAATTTAAACAAATTTTAACTAATTTACCTTACCTGTGCTAGGTATATGGCATTAGTTATCTGCCAAATTCAGGGTTGGCAGGTACAGGTTTTTTAAAAATCCTAAAAGTGAAAATTCTGCAATTTTAGGTTTTTAAAAAACGAAAAACTTAAACTAAAACTAAAAAAACTAAAACTAAAAAAACTAAAACTAAAAAAACTAAAACTAAAAAAACTAAAACTAAAAAAACTAAAACTAAAAAAACTAAAACTTAAAATACTAAAACTTAAAATACTAAAACTTAAAATACTAAAACTTAAAATACTAAAACTTAATAAACTTAAAACAAATAATAAATTGTTACTATCATTAATGTCAATCTCAAGAAGTGGTATAACCATTTATGAAATGGGTTATGTTGTAGTTGACGGGTCTAGAAATGCGCGGGGTCTAGAAATGCGCGCGGTCACACCACTCTGCACTGACGTCTAGAATTTGAATTTGCACAAGCCACGTTGCCAAATCTCCACTTTCGTTTCAGCTTGTTTTATTTTATAGTTTATTTTTCAACCAAATTGTAACCTCTGTACATTAAAATGTATGATAAATAAATATAAAGATTTATATTATATTTTGAAATAACAATTCTGTTTTGTTTTATAAGACAGTTTTGATAGATTTTAGATTTACATTTTGTAATTATCACTATTGAAAGGTATTATTCACATTAAAAGACGAACGTATTACTTGAAAATCTTCAGAACATTTTTTTATTTTTATGGGTTTTTTAATCGATGTAAAAATTGGTAAATAGATGATTAAAAGTAAAATAGTTATTTTAATCTGCTTATTCCCTGGTTCCAAATAATTAAATATAACCTGGCAACTCCGTAACGATTCCGACGGGCAGAACTAGCCGGAACAGGAATGGTGCGCACTGGCCCATTTCCAGAACCTTCAACTGCAACATAACCTGAAATGTTTGTATTTATTTCTTCCGAATATCTTAAAAAACCTAAGTGCAATAAAACCTGTGCCTACCTGCCAATCCTGAAAAAAAAAAAAAAAATAGCTAATATTAAAGTTGTCTAGGTATGGCATTAGTTATCTGCCAAATTCAGGGTTGGCAGGTACTGGTTTTTTTGTACCTATGTTTTTTTTTAAATTCTTAAAAGCGAAAATTCTGCAATTTTAAGTTTTTAAAAAATATTAAAAAAACCTTAAAATACTAAAACTTAAAATATATAAAAACTAAATCTTAAAAAACTTAAAAACTAAGGGTGAGATTACAGAACGTCTGCAACTTTGCAGGTCTGCAATATGGCGGACTTACAAATGCAAGTATCAAGTTTTCGTATTCCAAAAATTATCTGCAAATTCGTAATAAACCACTATAAATTTTACTAATTTGCAGATATTTTTTGAAATACGAAAACTTGATACTTTCATCTGTAAGTCCGCTATATTTGCAAAGTTGCCGCCATATTTGCAGATCTGCAAAGTTGCAGACGTTCTGTAATCTCGCCCTTAATCTTAAAAAACTTAAAAATTAAATCTTAAAAAACTTAAAAACTAAATCTTAAAAAACTAACTTAAAAAACATAAATTTAAGCTACTTCCTATATATTTTTTAATTCTTAAATTTTTTCCAACCCTGTCAACTTTGGTATTTTTTTAAAAAAATTATTCAAATTTTTTTTATCATATTCAAATTTGACAGAATACTAATGTCAGTCAAATTTTATATGGGCTATTTTAAGTTTTTAACTAAGCAGAGGTGATTGCTCTAGGTTTTACTTACTACAATCAAAATATTAAAAATGTTTGAATATGAATTCCAACTTTTTGGCACACACTGTATGACAAAAAACTTACATAAATATTACTTTTGGTATGAAAATTGCATTAAAAAAATTTCGCTCCCCTCCTAGCTGATATGGAGGGGTTAACCTCAAAAAATGAAGTAACGATTTTTTCAATAAAACAGTTGAAATTCCGATTTTTTCTCATTTTTTGAACGTTTACAATAGACCTGGTTTGTAACGTTTTTGTATAAAAATTATCACCACCATCCCCTAAGATTTTTAAACAAAAACCTTGCAAATCAGGTCTATTATAAATGTGCAAAAAATTGATTTTATCTCATCTGTAACTATTTTTAAATTTGCCAGCTCCCCCCACAGTTCAGATTGAAAAATTTTCAGTCCAAAAATATTTTTGAAAAATTATTATCAAAAAAATAATTGAAATGTTGGATATACATGTATGTAGAAAAAATCGTAGATTCCAACGGTTTTATTTTAAAAAAATTGAGATTGACTTTGATTTGGGTTCAAAAAAATGGCAAGTATTATAAAAAATTGCTTCTTACTCCTAAACCAATATTTTATCAGGCAACAACAATAACAACAACAACAATAATCCTTTTTCTTGATAATTATTTGGTAATTTAATATTGATAAAAAAATTCAACTTTCCTACAAATTTTTAGCTTTGACCATTCATTCAGTTGGCATATGAGATAAGATTTTTTCCTACGACCACTTAGGAAAGTGACACATATCACACTATATAGTCCTATGGAAAGTGTCCTATATCACACGCGTATGACTAAGAATTTACTTTCCACCCAAGTGAGAATATGTTACTTTCCGCAGTAGTTGTCAAAAAATGTCAAACGCCTAATTTCTATTTTGATCTATGTAATGTCCATATTAATACTAAAATCGATATGATTGTTAAATTATTGAAATTGTTTTAAATTAGATCCTAGATATTTATCTTTAACAATTATTATTAAAATAATTTTAAAATAACTAAGATTGTTTGCTCTTTAATTTGGGTAAATACATAACCGATTAGATCATTCAATTGACGTAAGGCCCATTAGCTCAGTTGGTTTAGACGTCGAACTTATCAACTATGCCATTTTTTGACCGCGTTCAATCTATGGTTCAAATCCTGGCGGAGCCGAATTTTTTTTTTGTTTTTTTTTTATTTTTTATTAGTTTTTTTTGTTTAGAAAATATGAAAATTGAATAAATACGATTATTGTTGATTATTTTTTTAAATACATTTTAATTAATATAGTAATAATAACCTTGGTTTTACATTTTTTTGATATTATTTTGTAAGCTAATTTCTATTTTGATCTATGTAATATCCATATTAATACTAAAATCGATATGATTGTTAAATTATTGAAATTGTTGTAAATTAGATCCTAGATATTTATCTTTAACAATTATTATTAAAATAATTTTAAAATAATGTTTGCTCTTTATTTTGGTTAAATACATAACCGATTAGATCATTCAATTGACACAAGGGCTGTTAGCTCAGCTGGTTAGGACGTCGAACTTATCAATTTTGCCATTTTTCGACCGCGTTCAATCTATGGTTCAAATCCTGTCGGGGCAGAATTTTTTTTTGTTTTTTTTTATTTTTTTTTTATTTTTTTTAGTTTTTTTTGTTTAGAAAATATGAAAATTGAATAAATACGATTATTGTTGATTATTTTTTTAAATACATTTTAATTATTATAGTAATAATAACCTTGGTTTTACATTTTTTTGATGACATTATTTTGAGGTCGTAGGAAAAATATTGTACATCACTTGTGTGAAAAGTGATTTTCCACACTCGTGTGATAGTCGCACTCGGCTTGCGCCTCGTGCGACTATATTTCCCACTCGTGTGAAAAATGTCACTTTCCACACTCGTAATGTAATATACTATTTTAAATATTTCAACCCTTTATCTCCCCATTTTTATTTATTTATATCCCTCATAGAGCTTGATTTTTACTAAACATTTTATGTTGATCACTTCTGGTTTTTGATTTCCATTTTTTTTTTATTTTAAACCTTGACTACCATTTTATTCAGATAATTTAAAATAATCGGCTTTGTCCTCTTATAAAGAAAGCTTGATTTTCCCTGAAATTTTCAAGTCAATTTTTGTTTTGTTTTTGACTTAAAATTATAATATCGTACGGACAAAGTAAACCTATAGATACTCTTCATGGACCACAGTGTTGTTGTGAAGAGTATAATAAACCCAGTTTAGAATAATTTAATTTTTTTGTTTCGATTGCAAGAATCGATACAACATAATCGATTTTACCGGCATTCGTTCGCTACCGGCTTGAAAACTGTGTAATTTATTTGGCGTTTTTCTATCCTTTTCTATCTACAACGGCCTTGTGAATATGCGCTTTATACTTGTGCATATTGGTGGGAATGGTGAATGGTGAAGTTTTTATTGCATTTTATGAAATGTGCTAGTTTTGGCGAGGAGTAGACTGCTGTTTCGAGCTGCGCAATATTATCTATGTTAAGCAGCCATAAAGGAGAAATTAATTTGAAACAGTGTTGCCAGATCATGTTTTTTTCAGTAGACTAACAAAATTTTCGAAATCTGTAGATTCATTGCATAACATAATTACAACTTTTGAACAAATGAACGGATATTAAATTTTATTTATTTAAACTTTTAATTTTTAATTAATTACTCAAGACTCGACTCACAATAAAAAATTAACTAGCAATTATAGGTATAATATAGAGCTTGATGAGTTTTCGTTTTTTAGATAGGATTTTTTTTAAAATTTAATTTTCATTCAAATATTTTTTAGAATCAATTAACGTCATCCCCTTAGCTTGATATTTACTAAATTTCATTTTAACGCTTTTTGTTTTTGATTTAAGATTTTTTTTAATTTTAATCCCCTTAACCGCCCCATTAATATTCAGATTTTTCAAAATCAATAGTATTCGTCCCCTTATAGAGCTGGATTTTTTCTAAAAATTTTCAGTCTTATCATTTTCGTTTTTGAGATAGGATTTTTTTTTTAATTTCAACCCCCCTTAACCGCCCCATTATTGTTTAGATTTTTCAAAATAAATAGGATTCGTCCCCTTATAGATTTGGATTTTCCCTAAAAATTTTAAGTCTGTCATTTTTCGTTTTTGAGTTAGGGATTTTTTTTAAATATTTTAATCCCCTCCCCCCTTAAACCTCCATTTTTATTCAGATTTTTACAAAATCTTATAAAGCTTGATTTTCCTAAAAATTTCAAGTTGATATTAGTTTTCGTTTTTGAGTTAGGGATTTTTTAAAATATTTTAACCCCCCCTTTTAAACCTTCATTTTTATTTCGTCCTCTTAAAAAGCTTGAATTTTCCTAAAAATTTCAAGTTGATATTAGTTTTCGTTTTTGAGATTTTTCAGAATCGACGTCATCCCCTTAGCTTGGTATTTACTAAATTTTATTTTAACACTTTGTTTTCGATTTAAGATTTTTTTTTTTAATTTTAACCGCCCTTAACCGCCTCCATTAATATTTAGATTTTTCAAAATCAAAAGGATTCGTCCCCTTATAGAGCTGGATTTGTAAGTCCATATCATTTTTCGTTTTTTTGAGTTAGGGATTTTTTTATATATTTGAATCTCCCCCATGGTCCCCCATTTTTTTTTTTCTACAAAATCAATAGGAATATTTGCTTGTGTTTTAAGTTGTAGCAAAATCTCACTTATTTAAGATTGGCCTATATTAAAAATATATTATAAAAAAAAACTACTCATCAGCAATGTTCTTTTATATAAACTTGTATGTATCATGAAAATATAACGGGATATAATGGATTTTTTTTAGTATAATTCACGTTAATATCAATACATTAGTAAATTGAATGTCAAATTAGTAGATCTACTGAAAAATCGGCAGACCTGACAACATTGGCTGAAATTGAAGCGTACATCTATTATAGGTATCTTCATTTTTTTATATGAATACCTATTTCTAATTTCAGAAAATTCTTTCATACACCTAAAATAAATCGCAAAAATTGATAACATTTTTCATTGTGGTTTAAAAATGTTTGCCCATATTTTTTGTGACTTGGCTAAGCACATCGGCAACTAATTTCTACAAAACGATTTGTAGTAATTTAAGCTATATAAACCAATAATCACATTCATTTGTGCAAAATATGGGAAATGATGAATCAGTTTCTGACATTCATGATGTTTTTTTATTCTGTGGACGTAATTCTGATCCCAAAAATAGGTATATAACTGCAAATTTAATATATTCAGCGATTGCACAAATAAATGTGTTAAAATTTAGTTTAAACCGCATTTTTAGAACATTGAAAAACATTCATTAAATGTTATTTATATTAAATTTGATGGTGTAAACCCAAAGAAAAAATATATAAGTAGGTACCAGAATATCGAGGGCCACAAGGCAGGACGTTGTAAGTCGCAATATCAACATTTTATAATTTTCAGTGGAAATGTTAGTTAGGAGATTTTCTTTTGTTGTCTTCGTTATGCATATTTATATAAAGTTCATGATCAGAAAAGGATAGAAAAAAATGTATACATCTTTGTAAATTTTGATAACTTTCTATTCCAGGGTTCGACTGACAATGAGGTCACCGAAGTGGTGCCCGAAAAGCACTCAGTTCAAGTCGAAGAGTACAAACCCACTCCTCGGCCGAAAAAGCAACCGCAACCCCTCCCCGCGCCCATGTCTTCCCCCTCGGTCAAGCGACAAAGGCTGAGCATGTCTAGTAACGATTCCCAACCCTTACCTCCTTCCCTGCCCCCCCAACCTATTACGAAAACGGAACCCATAGCTCTTCCCCAACCTGTTAATATTCCTTCCGAACCCGCGGCTGTGCATTTTAAAATGGAACCATACGATTCGACGCAGAACCTGATTGACGAAAGTGGTAAGTTGATGATTTTGATTGTAGGTATAATTATCGAAATGAAAAAATGTGTGGAATGTGTAATGGATTGCTGACATCTGTCAAGACTCCAACATGTATTTTTTTAACAGATATTACAAATTCTGAAGAACACTATAACAAACATAAAATATTGAATACAATATGACATTAATCCAATTTTTATCACTTAATCATTTAAAAATTTATCTTTTATCTATAGTTACTTAAATTTTATTGTAATAATTATTATTATTGAATGAGTTTAAAATTTATATAAATTTAACATTAATAGAAAGTAAAATGGGACGCAAAAAATACAAAAACATTTTAAAATTCAATAAAAAAATGTTCTATAAAATAAAAAAAAAATTATAATCAAAATTATAACAAAATCAAGATAATTAAATTTATGTATATTTTGATACTATTTAATTTTTAAAAGTTGATTAAAAAATATTGAGAATATATGTTGATGAGTGTAAACAAAAAAAAAATAATTAAGAACGATACGATACAGGGTGGTATTGAAAGTTAAAAACAAAATATTTTTCATTAATATCGATCACTCTTTTGACTATTTTAGTTAATATAAACCTGATTGGATTAAAATTATTTAGTGGCGTCCTAGAGGGAAACCTAATTAATATTTTTAAAAAACAAACTCCACTATTTTTTTAAATTTAATTTTCTTTATTTTAAAATAGTTGTTTTAACCTTTTGGGGTACGGGGATGGTCTTAATAATTTGTAGGGAGTTTTTGAGATTTGTTTCCGAATTTTTAAATTATTTAGCCACTTATTTTAGATATTTCTGTCTTTTCGGATTTCGGTTTACGATTTAACGATTTATTGAATTTACAATTTTAAAAAAAAAGGCGTTTATCATAAACCAGAATGAAATTTAATGTGTTCCTCACTTCACTAGTTGTTTGATTTGCTGGTTTCTCGTTTTTACAAATTGGAAAAAATGTTTTTATTTAAATAGTTTAATCCTGAGTCTCATCAATTTATAAGATAATTGTTATACTCTTTAGACTTGTTTGTGAAAGTTTACTTTCGAGAAATTAAAATTTTTAATATTAATCCAAAATTAAAAAAAAAAAAAATTTAAGAAATTTCAAGCTATAAGGGGACGAAGCTTATGGATTAAAAAAAAGAAAATCAATATAGACTTGAAATTTTTACAAAGATACTGATATTTTTTTGAAAATAATTGATTAAAAGTGGGGGTAAAATTAAAAAAAAAAATCAATTCAAAAACAAACGATATCAATTTAAAATTTTCAGAAAAATCAAGTTTTATAAGGGGATAAAGCCTATGAATAAAAATGGGGGTTAAGGGGTTGAAATTTAAAAAAACTCTTAAATCAAAAACGAAATGCGATATCAACATGAATTTTTTTAGTAAAAATCAAGCTCTACATATTGATTGGGAAAAAATTCTTAATAAAAGTGACTGTTAAAATATTAAAAAAAAATCCTAACTGAATCATAAAACGATATGGATTTGAAATTTTCTGAAAAAATCGAGCTCTAAGAGGGCGAAGCCAATTAAAAAAAAATGAGGTTAAGGAAGGGGGTAGAAAAAAAAGGAAAAGCGATATCAATATGAAATTTTTAGTAAAAATCGAGCTGCTTTATAAGGGAATGGCCTATTGATTCTGAAAAAATCTATAAAATCGGGGTTTAAGGGGGGTTGAAATATGAAAAACATCAAGCTCTATAAGAGGACGAATCATATGAATATAAATGGGGATTTTTTTCTTTTCTTATTTTTTCTTGTTCTTTTTTCTAATTTTTCCTAATTTTTTCTTTTTTATTTCTTCCTTTTTTCTTTCTTTTCTATTTTTCTATTTGTTTTTTCTTTCTTACTTATTTCTCTTTTTTTATATGCTTCTTTTTTTCTTTGCTTCTTTTTTCTTTACTTCTTTTTTCTTTACTTCTTTTTTCTTTACTTCTTTTTTCTTTACTTCTTTTTTCTTTGCTTCTATTTTTTTTTTCTTTCTCTATTTCTTTTTTTTTTTTTTTAATTTCATAAATGGGGATTTTTTTCTTGTTTTCTTTTTCACCGTTTTCTTATTTTTTCTATTTTTTCCTAATTTTTTCTTCTTTTTAATGCTTCCTTTTTCTTTTCTTTTTAATTCTTCCTTTTTCTTTTTAATGCTTCTTTTTTTTAATTCTTCCTTTTTCTTTTCTTCTTTTTTATTTCTTCCATTTTTCTTTTCTTCTTTTTTATTTCTTCCATTTTTCTTTTCTTCTTTTTTCTTTCTTTTTATATATATCTTTTTTCTTTATTTCATAAATGGTTATTTTTTTCTTGTTTTCTTTTTCTACCGTTTTCTTATTTTTTTCTTTTTAATGCTTCCTTTTTTCCTTTCTTCTTTTTAATTCTTCCTTTTTTCTTTTCTTTTTAATTCTTTCTTTTTTATTTTTTTCTTTTTTCCTTTTTTTTTCTTTATTTTTTCCTTTTTTTTTCTTTATTTTTTTTCTTTTTTTTCTTCTTTTTTTTTCTTTTTTTCAATTTTTTTTCTTCTTTTTCTTTGCTTCTTATTTCTTTTTTCCCTTGCTTCTTATTTCTCTTTTTTTCTTCGCTTCTTTTTTTTCTTTGCTTCTATTTTTTTTCTTGGCTTCTATTTCTTTTCTTTGCTTCTATTTTTTTCTTTTTTTTTTTTTCTCTTTTTTTTTTCTCTTTTTCTTTCTTTTCTTTATTTCATAAATGGGGATTTTTTTTTGTTTTCTTTGTCTTCCGTTTTCTTATTTTTTCTTGTTTTCTTTTTTCTAATTTTTCCTAATTTTTCTTTTTAATGTTTCCTTTCTTCTTTTTAATTATTCCTTTTTTCTTTTCTTCTTTTTTATTTCTTTCTTTTTTCTTTCTTTCCTTCTTTCTTTTATTTTTTTTCTTTTCTTTTTCTTTACTTATTTTTATTTTTTTCTTTGTTTCTTATTTCTTTTTTTCTTTGCTTCTTTTCTTCGTTTCTTTTTTCTTTGCTTTTTTTCTTAGTTTCTTTTTTTCTTAGTTTCTTTTTTTCTTAGTTTCTTTTTTTCTTTGCTTATTTTTCTTTTTTTTTTTTTTTTCTTTTTTTTTCTTTTTTTTTTTTCTTTTTTTTTTTCTTCTTTTTCTTCTTCTTTTTTTTTTCTTTTTTTCTTTTTTCTTTTTTTTTTCTTTTTTGTCTTCTCTTTTTTTCTTCTTTATTTCATAAATGGGTTCTTTTTCTTCAGTTTTCCTTTTTTTTTTCTGTTTTCTTATTTTTCTTTTTCTTATAACTAAGATGGCTGCGATCTATAAGAATAGCTAAGTATATTCTTAATAATAATTGAACAATTGCTGTCATGTCAGTGTGCCTATGTGTCAAATCGATTTAATTGTAGTATATTTAATTTTTCTCTTATTAAATTATTAAAAATGATTAAAGTATTATAATTTTAACTCAAAATAAAATAGAATTTTTAGATTTTACTTTTGCGGCCTGGGATGTAAAAGTATTGTTCAGCAGTTAATTTGAAGTATATTTAAAAGTTTTCCTTTTCGATTATGTTTTCTGTCCGAAAAACGACATTTCATGACTTCCACATTTGAATAAAAATAATTTTATTTGTATTATTTCTATATCTACGCGACTACTGCCAGTTTTAGTATGTATATGTGTTTTTAAAACTATATTTTTATCAGAATAACAGACATGACACGATATTCTTTAACAAGACGCCATGTAATGTTAATTTGTTTTTGAAAATAGCTGTGAAGTCATCTGAAAGATTCAATACATAATTATCGATGGCTCAATTAAAAAACCACAAGTCAAAAAACAAAGAAAATGACGGTTCAATGGATGCAAAATATTATTAAGGTTTTACTTTAAATACCGCCACAAACAAAAATATCCTAAAGATGCCTGAAAATCATTTAAAATCTAGCCACAAACTGTCTAATACTGCCTCAATTCCAGTTATTTTCTGCAAAAACACCCAAATTTTTATTTTTTACAAACTATGCAATAACTTTTATAATCGTAATCGTTAATTTTAACAGCAAAATATCGAACATTTTTAATAAAATATAAAGATTTTATGTCAACAACAAAATAATTATAATAGAGATTTACAAAATTGAAACAGTATTTTAGTTGTGACAGTATTTGAGCCATTGTTATATTAAGAAGTTTACAAAAATTAACCAGCTAAACATTCTTTTTTCATTTGTTACAGGCGATGACAATTTCGGCGAAGACACTTTGGACGAAACCGTTGGCGACGATACAGAGGACTATTCTATGATGGAAGGTGGTACTGGCGAGGAAGAACCACAGGCGGGAACCAGTGCCGACGGAGCAGGCGAAGGACAAGGTAGGTGCTTTAATTTTCATTGTAAAAGTATTCCTATTGAAGATGCCGCTCGCGATTTTGGGACATGCCACTTTAATCGGTTACGAATTTATCTATATTTTCCATTGCGTTTTTAAAGTTGCTTCATACTTTAGTAAGCAACTTTGAATATATTATTATTTATTTATTTATTTGTAGGTTTGATTACTGAATACGCTGTGATTAGTAATATTGATCGGTTATACTGTTAACTGGTTTTTGTTTGTCGTTCAGTGATGGGGTGGTTAAATGATTTTAATAATCGGAATATCTATAAATTACGTTATCAAATTTATATAAATGGTTTTAGATGCGTTGAAATTATGTTTTTGTCTTTTTTTTTTGTTATGAATCATGCTTTTTCGATTCAGCTTTACTTTATTTTGGATACCACTCCGTATATTCATCATAACTATATTTATTTCAGAGTCTTAGAGACTTTCCTTCATTTATTTGTATCAAATATTCTTAAATATTATCAACAGTCTATATTCACTTAATATATTTATATTTTTTTTTACCTACTTTACTTATTTTTATTCTTTACCTTATTGGATTTATTTTAAAATTTGTTCTAGTAGTATTTACGTTTAAAAAAATTGATTTACTCTTCTATCATACTGTTGATTGAAGATTAATTTGTTTTAATATATTTTAGAGAAAAAATACTTTATTTAGTAATAAAATATATTTTTTCCACTGAATATATTGTGGAATATTCGAATTTTTATCATTTTGTCGATTATTTTTCATTTGAATCATCTCATCACTAAGTAAGTAGTATTGAGATATAAAAAGACTGCGTTAGGAGTAATTTAAAAAAATTATTTATGATAAATTTAGTAAAAAAAAAAAAATTGATTTAGATAAAAATGAAAAATTTTTTAAAATTTATTTCATGAGATATTTCAAAAATATTGCGGTTTTATTTCTCTAAAGCGGTATCAGTATCCATTGAATTTTTATTATTTTATTCTCCTATCTGTTAAAAAGCTTGTCCCAAAATGTTTTTTATAATAACATTAAACATTTTAATTTAATTTATTGACATTAACGCATTTATTATACAAGATTTAGCTGCATCTTCTGCCGGAATGCTTGAATGTAAAAACTTGAATGCTTGAATTTTTTAATATCAATTTAAAAATTTTCATTTAATTTCCGACATTCAAGTTTTTACATTTTTATTATTTTTGTATTTGTATGTTTGTGCGATTCTACGACATAGTAGTGATTTTGTATATTGATAGCTTTTAAGATATATTTATTTTTTTAACATTTGTATTTGACGTTTATGAAAATTTTTATAAACGTTTTATTTATTTCACATTTTTCACAAAGTTGGATCTTTCAACTTTGTGTTGTTTTTCATCAATATTCATAGATATATTTTTATTTATGGATGATGATATTAAAGCGATGTTCTTCCAGATTTGGTTTCATTTCTGGTTGGTCGTTTCAGTTAAAGGTTTATTTTAACCTTTGGCGCATTTTTTTTATGGGTTATTTAACTTTATAAATAACCCAAATAAATTTAAAGTAATATTTCTATAATTAAATATTACAAATTTTATTTCAGCCTATTGTAATATTTTTAATTTAAAATATTGCCCGCAGTTTTCTTTAAAATAGAGTTGATTAGATTTCATTTTACATTTTGGCCACTGACTGATCACATCAACGTGAGATTTCTCATGTTCTAATTGATTAGGTAGTGGTTTTGTAAATTCAAGATAAGTGATTGTTAAAAAAAAGTTTTTTCTAATTTTCTTGGCAATATTTTATTTAGAAATGTTGCTGCTTAAAATAATAGTGTGAAGTAAAAAAAAAAATTCAATATTTTAACTTGAAGTATTGAATAAAATTTTTATTTTAATCGCAATGTTTCAAATAGAAATATTGTGGTGATAAAAACAATTAAGTGTACAAGTGTAATTTTTTTCTTTCGAAAATGTGTACAAGCCACAAGTTTTATATTCAGGAATTTCGTTTTTATACGATTTTTCAGCGACTACTTTATCGCTGAGAATTTGTCTAAAATGGAATGTAAATTACTACTTTTATAGTTTACATTTCTTCAGTTCCTAATAAAAAACTTGTTCTAAAACATTTTAGAAAATTACCTCTTACCAGTTAAGTGCCCAGTTTTCGTATAGACGCATTTAGTGCAAGGAAGTCGGAATTTTCAGTGTTTTTTACGTTCTATTTAAAATTTAAGTTACTTTGGTTTCATTACCTAGTCGTATAATCGCGCGAGTGATTGTTTTGTAATTTGATTTGTCGTTTTTTCGTTAGACACTGAAGAATATCGTACGAAACCTGGAAAGCACGTTCTTAAAAATGCTATCATAATTGACGGGTTTACTTACCATCAAAATACCACAAAAAATTCTAAAACGAGGTAAGCATTAAGCTTTTTATCCTAAATAAACGCGTTTTTAGGTTAGAAATTCGAAAATATTCCATTAAAATTATGAAAATGTGATTCCATTAAAAATTAAGAAAGTATAGAAAAATTTGTTGGGTAATTATACATCTGTAAATATTTGTAATGAGTAATAGAGATGGTATAACTATTTCAAAAACAGTTTTATGCATTTTTATGTTAACACTTTTTTCATATCGTTATATAATCTCTAAATAGTTTAACAATTTTGCAAATTTAGTTAATATTCGATTCATTACTTTATATGTTTCGATTATTAGTTAAAATCGCAATTTGTTTATCAGGCAAATCTTTTACAGTTGTATAAACACTTCAACATGATTTTTTTAACTGTTTTAATTTTTTAATTTTCTCATTAAATACTAATTTTTCAATTTGTATTAAGATTAAAATCTTAACACTTCTGATTGGAATTTGTCACACTTCTGATTAGAATTTATCACACTTCTGATTAGAATTTGTCACACACTTCTAATTAGAATTTATCACACTTCTGATTAGAATTTGTCACACACTTCTAATTAGAATCTGTCACACACTTCTAATTAGAATTTGTCACACACTTCTAATTAGAATTTGTCACACACTTCTAATTAAATTTGTCACACACTTCTAATTAGAATTTGTCACACACATTTCTAATTAAAATTTGTCACACACATTTATAATTAAAATTTGTCACACACATTTCTAATTAAAATTTGTCACACACTTTTAATTAAAATATGTCACACACTTCTGATTAGTATTTGTCACATACTTCTGATTAGAATTTGTCACATACTTCTGATTAGAATTTGTCACATATGTCTGATTAGAATTTGTCACGCATTTTATTAGAATTTGTGAAGTAGATTTTCGAAATTTAGTCAGCGAAATACAAAGCGACTTTGGGGTGTTACAGATACTTAGTTTGCGCTGATTATAAGATGTTGGCGTGTAAAGCGCGCGCAGTTTTACCCGTCGATGGGTCCGCCGATGATTTCGTGTTGCGGAGAGAACATAATCATCCTCCGTTGTACGGGGCTTCGATAAAAGACGAAATTATCAGGCAGATCAAATTGGCCATAATTTCGTTTCCTTCTAAAACGCCGAAGGATATCTACGAAGATATATCTGAGATGTAAGTATAATTATTAAGAGTTCGTAACTACCCAAGATGCCACGATGATCGATAGGCGATGGTTAAGTATAGATGTCAATCGATATAACACAAAATGTATTAAGTCAAATGAACGTATGTATACCACCTTCGCACCATCGATGTTTACAGCGATATCTTTGATATGAATACTCTCATTTGAATTAGTATATTTGTGCTACATCGATTGACATCCACTTAATCATTGCCTACAGATCATCGTTTTTGGATAATCGTTTTTCGATGATCGTTTTTCGATGATCGTTTTTCGATAATCGTTTTCAAATCATCTTTTTCGATCATCTATTTACTATCATCGTTTTTCGACTATCATTTTTCGATTATCGTTTTTCGATAATCATTTTCAAATCATCGTTTTCGATCATATTCGATTATAGTTTTTCGATCTTCGTTGATCGAGTCATCTTCGACTCTTTTATCTGGAGATGTATATTATCGAAAATAGAAATGTATGTTACTGTACATTTTGGTGGTATTATTTTTATTCACTTTGAAATATTTTTTTCTGTTTTGGAACGTTTGCAAATATATTAAAAATAGAGACGTACACTTATGTTTATGCATACAAATTTGTACAAGTTTTTCTTTTATATATTGAACATATTTCAACAAATTAAAAAAAAATATATTTTTATTTATAACGTCAATTATAAAAAATAAAAATCATGTTAATAAAGATAAAGATGTTAATATGCAATTTGAAAATAGAAAAATACAATAATTATTATGGTACTGTGCATACAAATTTTGTTTCGTTAGTGAATATTTAAGCATATTTCAACAATTTATTTTCAAAGCAAAAATTAAGTCTTTTACTGTTAATTATGCAAAACCAATTTCGTTTAGAATTCAGCTGCATTTAAAATTGTAAAATTTAAATAAGGACACTTAATTCACAGAAAATATTTATGTTTGTAACAACTCTAGAAAATACTTTTAGTATGCCTCTGTTGTGAGATGTGTGTGAGGATCGTATGTTTGGTGAGTGTATTGATTGCATCATTGTTGAGTTATTGCGTCATTGTTGTATGATTGATTTTTTTTAGAGTTGTTTATTAATTTATTAAATTTTAATTTATTCGTGTCTTATTTAAAAATTACATTTTTTATATGTACTGGAATAAAAATCAATTTCTTTGTACTTGATTGGGGAGTAAATTAGTATTTTTTAAAACTGGGATTTGGGATTGTAATTTCGTGGGATACCAGGTATCCAGAAGCAGCTACTTTATGCCCTTTCGTCAAGATCCACTCTTCGATGCGTCGCTGGAGGCGTTTAGCGGTAATGGAGAAAAACGTTGAAGCTACGAATTGATTCCGAAGTTAATTGGAGAATATCTACGTATTTAAAAAACATTCATCAACTGTAAGAAG